TGGATCACTGTTATTTTGTACCCACTATAATACAGAGACCTTAAAATTAAGAATTCTGACACTTCTCTTTGTCTTTGTGCCTAGAGTCTCTAGAATATTTCCTGCTATAATCATAAATTTTTGAATAAATGAATGAACCAATCAATCAATAAATAAGTACGTATATAAATCTCCCGTGAAAATTAAAAGTGTGAAGTACAGATAATCCTTTGGTCTAGCACTTGAAAGATAAAGGAAGTTTATTTGAGTAGGCCCAAGATAGGATAATAGTTTGGATATGTTCCAGATGAAGGGTGTAACAAACACAGAACATATAGTAAATGTGTAGGGGAACATTATAGCATGTGTTTTGGAGTGAACCATTATTATACATAGTTACTTTCCTGTGGTAGCACAAAATACTTGCCTCTGCTACATAAAGGAGGACAAGTTCACGTGACTCATGTTTTCAGAAGGTTCAGTCAGCCGTGATCTAAGACAGATATGACATGGTAGAAGGGTCAGGTGGAGGGAAGCCATTCAACACATGACAGCTGTGAAACAGCAAGGAAGGAGCCAGGGACAGGAACATATATCCTTGCAGGTCATGTGCTGAGTAATCCCCAGACCTACAAGCCAGGCCCTAGCTCTGATAGCACATTCAGCTCATCATAGCAGCCAACACATGGAAGTAATCTTCCATAGATCTGTTTGTGGAGAGGTAAATGAATTTAAAAAAAAAGAAATGTTACCTACTACTGTGCCCATCCACCCTCAGCAGCAGGATCACCTGTGAACACCTAGAAACATTATGTATGCCACTCTAGAACTACTGAATCAGAGGTCCTCTCCCCTAGTAATTTAACAAGCCTTTCACATCAAGTTTGAAAGCTGCTGATCTAAACCATGATTTCACCTTAACTTGAAAATTATTGGCCTAGTCCTTCATCCTACCTTCAAGCAGTTACCATTTCTAATGTTAACTTGCTACATATGATTTTTTACTTTTATCTTACTAATCTAGTAGAAGGAAGTTTAAGAGGGTTAAAGAAGAAAGGCCCATAAGAATCAATAGTCCAAACCACATGTGGCATGGAATAATATACTTAGGACAAGAACTGGAGGGTTTCTTTTTCTAAGCTGGAGATATTTTGGAAGGCTCTCTAATTGGATAAACACAATAGCTGTTCTAGAAAAGGATTTACTCCTACCTGTCTTCAAAATTCTAAATTGCCTCCACCTTGAAAATTACAATCAACAATTGTCAATTACAGTGAGATAAGAAAGTAAGCAGGTGCTTGAATCTATTTCAGGAAGTACAAGGATGTCAGCTCATGATGTTTCTAAATATTAAGACAGTACAAGCATCCTTCTATTTTATAAATCAAGAAATCAAGGTAAGGCTTCCTGTGTTTCTTCTGTAAAATGCAACGCCACAGGACTACTACTTTCAGCCTATTATCTGGAATTTTCTTAGTGCTTATATATTTTTTAAATGCTACTAGCTAAAGGCTTAAAAAGGCTGTTTGAAAGACATTAAATAAGGTTATTTAAAAACTGTCTTCTTTCTCAGACTCACACCTTAATTTGAATGCTAAAGAATAGTCTTTAAGTGAGATGATAATATTTATTATTTTCCTTTGTATTGTTTTTCTTTATGATTTTGTTTTGTTTTTTAAAACTGAAAATTAAACTTAGCATCATTGCACTGAGCTGTATCCTCAGCTCTACTTTTTTATTTCAGTACAGCTTCTGGCTAAATGACCATGTATCCATGCCATATGTGAAAGTGTGATCCTCCTGCCTCAACTTACAATATTGCATTGTATTTTTCATTCTCTCTCAGGCTTATTTTATGTACATAATTTCCTACAGGTTCATCTATAGCATTACAAATGGCTGAGCCCTTTAAGGCTGAATAACATTGCATTATATTTTTGTTGCTGTTGTTGTTTTGTTGTTTTGTTTTGTTTTGTTTTTAAAATTTATGTATCTATTCACCCACCAGCTGAACACTTGCATTGTCTCCCGTGCTTGTGATTGTGCCAATCTTTTCCTAGAACATATCTGTGTGCAATATGATGTTTTGACATACATAGTAAAATGATCACTAGTCAAGCACACTAAAATGTACAACACCTCATAGTTGTATAATTTTTTATTGGTAAGAGAACTTGGAGAAGGAAGGATTTTTTTTTTTGTTTTGTGTTTTTTGGCTCACTCAGGCTGCCTTATTAGCAGGTCTGGTGGGACTTTGGAGCTGGAAATTGAACCATGGTCCCCTGCGCCTGACTGAGTTTGCTCAAGCAGGCACTTTAAACAACTGAGCTAACCTGCAAGCCTCCTGGTAAGAGAACTGAAAACCTCTTTGAACAAATTTCTTCTATTCCATAACATGCTATTAACTATAGCCCTCATAGAGAATGTTAAGTCTCTAGATGCATCACTCTAACTTCAACTTTGTACTCTTTGACCTGTATCTACCATTTCTTCCTTATCTCTGGAACCCATCATCCTATTTTCTGTTACCACAAGTTCTGATTGCAATATATAGTGAATATTTCTTTTAAAACTTATTATAGTAAAAGACATATATTCATTAATTACCTTCAAAGTGTCCCCCATTGCTTTGAACACATTCCTCCTGTCCTTCTTGTCACTTCCTGAAGCAAGTCTGGGAGTCCTCCCCCATAAGTGTCTTTATAATCATAATAGAAATGTAGTGAATGATGCTGCCATGTGCCATCCCACAAGATGGCCTGCTTACAAAAACACTACTTATGCAATGGATCTTGTGCTGTATTACTCTGGCTCCTCTTCAAGGTCAAAATGACCATGAAAGGTAAATGTTTTGGGTAGATCTAGTGCATGCAGGCAGCCATGGCTGCTCAACTAAAGTGACCAATGTAAAAGGACTTCCGGAATTGCCTCAGGAAAAAGAGAGATGTTTTATTAAAGTGAAAGGATTTTCAGAAGGAAACATAGTAATATGTCTTCTATATTTTTAAAAAATTTAAGCACTGTGTTTGTTGATCATACGTCATATACTTTTGATTCTTTAAAATATTCCACACATAAATAATATCATATTGTATTTTTAATTGTTCCTCAGGCTTATTTTATGTACATAATTTTCCACAGGTTCATCCAAGGTATTACAAATGGAAGAGTTCTTTACTTGAAGGTTCAATAACATTGCACTTGTGTGTGCTTACAATTTATGTATCCATTCACCCACCAATGAACACTTGAGTTGTCTCCATAGCTTGCGCTTGTGAATACTGTAATCAATCTGAAAGTGCAGGTATCTCCTCAGATCCTGGTTTCATTTCCTTTGCATATTTACTCAATATATTAGTCAGCTTTTCTTTTGCTGGTAATAAGTGCCCAAAGCCCACAATTTACAGTCGGAGAAGTATAATGGGTCAACTCATATTTTAGACTATAAATGTAAATCTTGTGTTTTCTGTTGTGTAAAAATGTATACTCACCACTGTTCTAAGTTGCTTAGTAACTAGTGCTGTTTGCTAGGATAAAATTCCTGTAACCCTCACCAATTCCTATAAACAAAGTTAGATTACAGAGATGACTTCAAAAGGAAACTAAATGGGCTTTAACTTCCTGAAACCTCTGGGCTATGCAAGGCTGCCTGCAGGTACTCAGGTGCAAGATAACCAGAAACTAAAAGAAAGCCCCAGGAAATTTAGTTTGAGTAGTGGTCACAATGACCCCAAAAGCATTATTGTGTGTCAGACAATGAATTTGTTTACTAAGTGGAATGCGGTTCCAGGTTTTAAAACCCCTCCTGCTTCCTGGGCTAGCTGCCTTTCGTCCTCTCCTGCGAGAGCTGACCAGGGGACCTGAGCTCAGTAATAAATGGCTTTCCAAATTCTAATCTGGCTGATCTGGTTCCTATTCTAAGCGACCCATAACAGAAGTTTCAGAGAATTCAGTCTATAGTCAGATGGTTCCCAGGCAGAAATGACAGTGTGGAAAGGCTTTGCAGAGGAAAAATGCTCAGTTCAAGGCAATCAGGAGAGAGTGAGTGAGAGACAGAAAGTGAAACGAGAGAGAGAAACAGACAGACATAGACAGATACAGAATTGAACTGGGGACAAAACACACCTGCAGGCCACACCCCAGGAAACTCACTTCCTAGGAGCATATTCTTCCTGAACTCACAGATGGATCCTGACACCCCCACAGGCTAATCATTTTCCCAACACACCAGCCCTGTGTACCTGAGATTCTTGTGGGACATCTTCGATCTAAATCACAACATCGAAAACTGAAATAGCTGTGTCCTATCTTGACATTGGCCTCAGCAGTGACATTGTGGTTATCATACTAAGAGCTCAAGTGGCATAACAACAACAACAATAACAACAGTAATAGACTAATGGGGTTTCATCAGACTAAATGCTCTGAACAGCAAAGGAAACAAAATGAATAGGCAGTCTACAGACTGGGAGGAAATATTTGTGAACAACACATCTGATAAGGGGTTAATAAACAAATGATACAAGAAACTCAAACAACTCCATAGCAAAACCAAACCAAAACAAACAAAAGCATCTCGCACACAGACTAGTGATCAAATGGGCAAAGGGTGTGAACAGACATCTTTCTGGAGAACAGACACCACATGGCAGAGGTCCAGGAAACAGTGCGCGGCGCCCCTGACCAGGGCAATGCAAACCACAGTTAGCCATCACCTCCCAGCTGTGAGGATGGCTATTACCAAAAAGGAAGAGGCCGCAAGTGTTGGTCTAAAGAAAAGGGAACCCTGGAGCACCAGCGGTGGAAATTTAAGCTGGTATGGCTCCCGCAGAAAGCAACAGGAAGGATCCTCTAGAACTTGACCACTAGCTGGCCCCGCCTTCCCAGCTCTTGGTGAAGTTCAGAGTCCGTGGTCTAAAGCTGCGGGCGCTCCGGGTTGGACAGAGCCGCCTCCTCCTCCCTCAGCCCGGCCCCCGGCCCGCCCCCGACCCACCCAGGAGGAGATCTGTCGGTTCCGGTCCTGTGACTGGCGGCCGCTGCGAAGTTTGCAAAGTTCCAGCGGCCGCGGGTCCCCTCCAGCTTGAGCAGCCGGCAGCGCGGACCCATGGCCGGTGGGGCAGCCGGGGATCTTGGGGCAGCGGCCTCCGCGGCGCCCGAGATCCGCGAGCACCTGTTCAAGGTGCTGGTGGTCGGCGAGCTCGGCGTGGGCAAGACCAGCATCGTCAGGCGCTACGTGCAGAAGCTCTTCTCGCAGCACTACCGCGCCACCATGGGCGTGGACTTCGCGCTCAAGGCCCTGCACTGGGACAGCCGGACGCTCGTGCGCCTGCAGCTGTGGGACATCGCGGGTAAGCGCGCCCGAACCGGCTGCACCGGCCTCCTCGGGCCGGGCCCCCTGCCTGAGCTCCGCCCACGGTCCACACAGGTGGGCGGCAGCCTAGAGCCTGGGCCTCGGGTCCGGGAGAGGGGCCGGGGGCCGAGAGCTGTGCTGCAGGTTTGCACTCAGACTAACGCCCTCTTTGTGAGTGCGGGCTGAGGTCCCAGGCAGGAGGATGAGGTGGTGCAGGGAGGGCGGCTGCGCCCAGTTATACCCAGGGTGCCCCCTCCGGAGTCGCACCAGCCTTACGGAAAGTCGGGCTCCCCTCCGGCGCCTCCCTTTCCACCCGCCTTGGTGCTGGTGCTGTGCCTGTGAAGGGGGCTTTTTCCTGGCCCGGGCGCGGGAAGCCACAGGACTGCTCCAGAAGTTTCAACTGTGGCTGAGCGAAGAGTTAGCGCTCTGGGATGGGCTTGGCCCTGAGCCCAGCCTCGGAGAGGGAAACTCCGCTGCTCAGACAGTTTGCTCTCCAGCTGGGCCAGCTCACGCCGGGGAAGATCTGGGAAATTTCCCTGAAACTTTGTATCCCGGCTCCCCTCCCTTAAGCAGCAATTATTCCTTTCTTCTACACCCCACAAATCCTGTCTTGTCTCAGTGGCTTTGGGTTTGATTTAGTCCTTGTGGAATAGCACTGTCTCTGAGGGATGCTGTCTTGACTGTAATTTAAGAATTGCCCCCTGCTCCGCACCTCGCCCCCAAAAAAGAAAAATAGAATTGCCTTCTGCTGGAGTGGTGGGAGGCATGTGGACATTTAGAGAGGCGAGCTGTTGGGAAGTTTAATTATGCAAATACTAGCAAAGGTTACCCTGCTCCTTAAGTGAAGCTCCGGAAGCCACAGGTCATTTGAATGGGAGCACATTTAGGGTGGAAGATGCCTTAGCATCCTTACCACAAAGGGGGCCCTCAAACCCGTGGAAGGTATGGCTTCCTAGCTAGGCGCAGACTGAGGGAAGCGCGGCTTGTGTTCAGCGGACCTTGCTGTCTTCGCATTCCCTGGTACATGGAGAAAGTGCTGAAAAATTATGGAGTTTATAGCTGCTCATTCAAGAGCAGATTTCATGCACAGGAACTCTTCAGAGAAAGAGATCGTCAGCTTTGGGCTCAGCATTCTTTTTTTTGGTTGCCGAAAACCAAAAGTACGTTTGAAAAGTCATCTTAGCAGCCAGTCTTCTTTCGAAATACTTCCTGCTGTTGCCCAGAGCAGTAGCGAACATTTTCCTGCCTCTTGAAAAGCCACAGATTCCAAAGTCACCTCCCCATGGGATAATCACCATCCGGGACTCCCCAGCGTGGTCCTTCAGCAAGGATGACTTTCAGCCACTCACAGACCTGTGGATGGCTTTGGCTTTTTCTCTGGTAAATTAGCATGGTATTAAGATGCTAAATGACCATGGACTCCTGCCGCAGAAACATGGGTATGAAGGATAAGGTTTTATGACACCTGTATTTTTAAGCTTCATGGTAAATTTTTTTTTCTTTTTTGCATTTAGTACAGGGGATACAGGGTCTACAAGGTCTCACTACGTAGATCGGACTTGTAGTGGTGCTCCTGTTTTCAGCCTCCCAAGCCTTGGAATTACAGGTGTGCGTACCACCACGCTTAGTCTCAATCGCAGTCTCAGTGTGCCCCAGGGGCAGGGCCAGCACAGAACGCAGAGGATCAAACCCCAGCCTCTGCACTCTGCCTAAGCAGGTGCTGTAGTCCTCTGAGCTATCAGGCTGGCCCTGGTAAAATGTTTTTATTTGAACACTTAGGAAAACAAAACAACAATGTTTTCTTCCTGGGTATCACCTCTTATGTTTCTATTATTCTTTTCTTTTTTGTTCTTGTACATATATGTATGTGTGCATGTGCATGTGTGCACACGTGTAATAATAGGCCAGGGCCTTCACCTTTCACAAGCCCTTTTTAACTTTTTTTTTTGAGACAGTTCTTCCTAAGTTGCTAAATTGCCCAGGCTAGACTCAAACTTGGGATCCTTCTGCCTCAATGGCCAGACTATAAGTGTGACAGGTTGCGCCATCATTCCGGACTCTTTGCATCATTCTTGAACATATCTAGATAACCAGCAGTAAGGTTTACCTTATCTTTGTCATATACTGCTAGATAACTGACAAGATAGGGTATCTTTGCACTTTTGCCTAGATCCTGAGCTTAAGCTTTGCCAGAAAGGAAAGCAGTATTCTGTAATATCTAAAAGGTATTTCTTGTTGCTAGCTGCTGTTTCAAACGTGAATTGTTTACCATTCAGCAGGGTTTTTTTTTTTTTAATCAGCAACTGATAAAACTAGATGTTGACTTCTGAGATCATTAGAAATTATTAGTTTCTTTTAATGATGTTTTGGAAGATAAAGTCTCATAAGGGTAACAAGAGACAAAAGTAACAAATTTGGGCTAGAGTTTGGGGAGCTGCAATCATATCCGCTTGGATTGACCATTTGAACTATCATGGAATTTTAGCTCATAATGATATAGGGGGAAAATGATCTCTGTGGATGACCTCCAAATGATATAGGGGAAAAATGAAACTCCTAACCTGAAAGGTACCTGGGATGTGTTCTTTAAAATGAAAGAATGAATTTTATGAACAAACGGGGGTTATAAGTAGAGCATATTTATTGGGGGAAAGAAAGCTCCTGTCCAAGAGATGGACAGAAGGGGGGCCCGAGTGGGTAGTCCCCAGGTAGCTGTCTCTTCCAGGGACCTTTATAGAGTAAAACCATGTGGTGAGATGGGTCTAAGGTGGTGGAGAACATGGGAACTCATTTAGGTGGGCATGAGGTGGGACAAAACTATGGTCAACCAATGAAATTACAAGCACCATTGCTCAGGTAAAATTGATTAAATTCAGGACCAAATGGGGAAGCAATTCATGTAGCAAGTGGGCATGAATACAGGTCAGGGTCTCTTCCTCTTGAGGGATTGGTTTAATGACTCATTTGGATTCTTTCAAAGTGATTGATGTCTATTTAGAATACCAATTCCTGATGCCCATCCCTAGGGAAGTATGTTGCTGTATTTGTTTCCTCTTTTGTCTTGAGGTCTGGACCTTAGGAAGGAAGTGTCTGTCTCTTCCAAGTTGCAAAGTCACCTACCTTATCTTCCATCTTGTTTCCTTGAGGGCTGTCTATAATATTTCTATCTACTTCAGCTGCCTACAACAATAGTATTTGAATTAAGTAAGAATGATGTAATGCTGGACATTCCAAGAAAATTTCCCCAATCCTACCTGTGTGGTTGATACTAAATTCTCAAAGAATAGAAATACTCCTTGATTGCATAACAGAGTGAAACTGGTCACTGGATCTCACTAACTTCAGATTTGGTGTTATTCCTAGTTTGTTTACTGCTGGTGTTTTAGCAGCCTTGTAGGAAGACAAGACCATTAAGAAGTTATGCTAACACTATTCTACGGAGCTTTGGCAAGTGTAATAATCAAGAATTATTGAATGTTTCCTGTAAATGTAGCCCAGCAAATTAGTTAAAATCTTTAAATTAGGAACCACAGTAACTTTCAAGAAGAGGCCTTGACATAGCCTTTCTTGTGACACCAAAAGAACTTACATTTAGAATAAAGATAGACTTTAATGGCATTTTTGTATCAAATGGTTGCTGTCTTAAATTCCTACTTACTCTGAGCTCATTGCTTGATCACAGCTGAGATCTGTTAATATAATAAGGCTTGAGTGAGATTTTAAAGAGCATTTAATAAATGCACACTAAAATTAAGATGTAGCTGGAATTTCTGGTCTTTCTCTTAATGTTTACTATAGAGAATGTAATGAGTTTAACACACATTGTAAACTTATTGCTTAATAGCAATCATAGAATTTTCCAGGCAGGCTATAACGTTAATGTGAATTAATCCTTAAATGTATCCACTTAGATCTACTGTAGTTTAGACTTGCTATATTAATTAGAGTGAGTTGTAACAATTTTTTGAGCCAGAGAACAAATTGGGAATAATTGGCTTTGAAGAAATTTTATCCAAGCACAAAATGCATGCTTGGAAGGCTTTATAATCTATATAAGCTATATTTAAATTCACTTTCTTCATTGTACTTCCTATCCTAAAGCAGAAGGTAGACACTGATTTTCTTCCATATTTTACTTTCCGTATTGGTACACCTTATACTCTTGTCTTCTTCCATAGCTCTCTTTTAGACATTCACCAAGAAGACACAGTAGTACCACCTCAAACACATCCCTGAACTGTGAATTATCTCTGTGGGTTAGGGCCTTGGCTTATGTCTGGATGGCCCTTGAAAGGCTCATGCTGAAGATGTGGGGCTTTTGCAAAGTAATTGGATTATTAATACACTGCAGCTGATTTACTCTTAGGAGGCAGGATATAGTGGGAAGAGGGAAGAGCACTGGGCTATGGCTGAAAGGGTGTGTTTCCTTCTCCCCTGGCCTTCACCTCCTACCTCCTCTTCTCCACCATGTGAGCAGTGTCCCTCCACCAGACCCTTCCTGCCTTGGAGCCAGTCAACTCGGACTAAAAATGTCAGCCACAATAAACCTTTTCTCCTTTAAGTGTTAGGTGTCAGGATTTGTTTCTCAGTGATGAAGAAAATAACTAAGGCAGTGAGTTGCCATCTAAATATGCATAGGCAGCACTTGAGGAATATTTATTTCTAGGTGCTGTCTTACACATGAATAGCATAATGTTTCCTATTGTTGCTGGTGGTCTATGACATGCACTCATTCAAAAGGCTTTTTCTTATCTGTGTTATGTATAAGATTTTTATCCAGCCTTGCTGTCTCATCCTTTTTCAGGTTTATTTCCAGTGCAAATTTGCAAGCAAAGGCCAACATCTTGAAATCATGGTTCCTGAGTTTGGGGCTTACATTCATGATTGCTAAGGTGGGCAGCGGTCAGCCAAACAGTCTGGCTTGACAGAGTTTGATGAAGTCACAGCAAGGAGGCAACAAGAGCTTCAGCTTCCTCCCACCCCATGGAGTAGGCGCAT